AATCACAGTCTTCAAACAAGAACATGTCCCTCCTAATCAATTTGATTTCAAATGTTTCTGATTGGGATGGATTGGAACACTTTACACTCATGAAAATGTAAAATAACAGCCAATTTTGTTTTAAATATCTAAGATGTGATTATTATACATATTGGGCCGGGAATATAGCTCAGTGGCATAAGTGCCTGCCTGGCAAGCACAAGGTCCTGAGTTCGACTCCCGGTACCAAAAAAAAGAAAAGATGTTTAGGATTATTACGTATATTGTTAAACATCATATGCTAATAGCATTACTGCAATTAAACATGCACACTTAACAAAAAATGCTGAAGCTTTATGGATAAATACAATTAATGTTTACACATTTAAATAGTAAGATTTTTGAACTAGAGGGGCTGGGGATTTAACTCAGCGGCACAGAGCCTGCCTAGCAAGTGCAATGTCGTGAGTTCAATTCCCGGTACCGGAAAAAAAACAAAAAAGAAAACCAAAAAAAAAAAAAAAAAAGATTTTTGAACTAGAAAGTTTATGTTGAAACATAACAGGAAAATATTAATTTAACAGCTTCTTCTCTCATAGTTCCTGGCAACTTTAGCATTTCTTTCAGTAATACAACTCCACAGGCAGGTATTCATATGCTAAATAATTAAGATTCAATTTTATCCTAACAATAGATTTTGTACACTGTGTATCATTGTATTATATCTTATTTAAGTTAGAGATCAGTGAAAGTTTTTCTATAAAGAGCCAGAGAGTAAAGAATATTATGTAATTACTTATAAGGCAAAGGGAAAGCCAATTTTAACAAAATTGTACCAATAGAATTAAAAATAAATAAGAATTCAGTGCAAATTTTGCTCATAGAGTTCTACATATAAAAAGTTGGCAGAAATTTGAATTTCAAATAATCATTTTGTGCTATGAAGAGGTCTTTTAATTTTTTTAGCTAAAAACATAAAGATCACTCTAGTTCGTAAACCATACAAAAACAGGTAATAGGCCTGATTTGTTTCATGGGCCAAAGTTTGCCAAACTCTAAGCTAAATCCTACAATTGACATTATGCAATTCTACTAAGCCTGTGTCTTTGAAGAAGCCAATTTTTTTTTTTTTTTTTTGGTTTTTCTCCAGTACCGGGAACCGAACTCACGACGTTGCGCTTGCCAGGCAGGTGCTTTGCCGCTGAGCTAACTCCCCAGCCCCAAAGAAGCCAATTTAATACTGATAAATAGATGATTCCAGAAGAGAAACTGTTACATGTAATGTAAATTCCACAAATAATTTCAGAACACAGTAGTGACTATCTTAAGTAAACACAACATCATGTAGAAGTCATGTTTGCTCCCATGTTAACTTATGAGCAATATTATCCCAGAAATGAAAGCTTCCTTTATCAGATGCAGTAAGTGTGGAGAATCCACCAAACAGGGGAAAATAAATCACCACTGCTGTTAGAAAAGTAAGTCCAGATGCATTCTAACCTTTACATATGAAGGTCAGCCACTAATGCATTGCATCATAGAATTAGATTGTATTATAACTACTACTGTTTATTTATTACTAGTGTTGTATTATGGCTATTTTTTGCTATGCAAATGAATTTGGGAGAAGGGAAGGAAAAGAAAGATTCCAAGATTGAGTTGTACCATTTTGAGGATCTGTCTTGTTGCGTTTGGGCTACACCCCAAGGTCCATAAAGGTGATTGTCTACTCAACCAAGTACCTTCAACTATTATTGATTTTCTTACAGTGTTTAATGCTTCCTTTAGGGCAGATATCATTTATATCTTTTTTCAATTAGAGATAGATATGAACACAGCGAGATCCTAACTTCTCATTAAGTTATTGGGAAGCTACTTGTGAATATTAGTTATTCTCAGCATAAGGTTCAAGCTGTTTGTGACCAGAGCACTTCTATCACCTGATCTGCAAGAGTAAAAACAAAAGCAAAGCTCTAACTAACCTTACTGTTTACACCTGTTCCGTTTGTGATGAGCTGACCTCTCCCCCAAACATGTCTTCTTATCCAGACTTTATGAAACCTCAAGAACAAGCATAAAATAAAGAGATGTCCTTTCCATCCTTTAGTGTTATGTCACTTAGTAGGAAGCGAAGAAGCCCACAAGGGCTAGAGTAGCTCCTCAAGGAGCAAGCCTTTCTACAAGGCTCTGTCTCTAACCTTTCATGAAACGGGCACCATAGTACACTAACAAACTCATCTGGACCAGAAAAAACCAAAAACTTGGGATTGGTTTAAGGCTTTTGAAATGTCAAAGGATGTGTCCGTTCAATGAATTTCATCTTTAGACATGGGTATGACTATTTAACAGGGCCACCAAGAGTATACAAGCACATAGGTCTTGTAGTTTGGACATAGTTGTATACATACATACACTTATTTGTGTGGGTATATGTGTATTTGTACAGAATTCCTCAAATGTGAAGTTTCCCATCTGATTAATTAGATCAATTAGCATTCAAATTAAAACACCCCTAATCCCAGGATTAGAATACCACACCATGAAAATGTTCATATTAGTAGCCATAGCCTGACTCATTGGATAACAGATTTTCTCCTGATGAAGAAACTGTAAATAAAGGGAAAAGGTCTTTGTATTCACCTGAGAGAGAGACTTTTAATTTTCTTTATTTATATTCAGTTCTTTCTGACTTTAGTATTGGAATTCAAAATTGATTCACTTTTTATTAATATGCAATCCTGTCCAGAAGAATTATTGGAGTTATAACACTTTAAAGGGTTTATGCCGGTGGATGTTTGCTTGTCCTTTTGCTAACTTTCAGCCATATTCAAAAATCTATATAATTGTTCTTTCAAAACAGATAAAATATATGATACACTCTGTACCAGAACCTGGCAACAAGTGTACTTTCCAGAAAGCAAATATTTCCAAAAGATTGAAGAATAAAATAAAAATTGGAAAGTAAAATATTTTCTTTTATATCATCTATAGCTACAAACCCCCTCATCAAAATATTAACAAGCAATTACTAAATGCAAATTTAATTGAACGAAGTCATTTAATTACTCTTTTGACATTTGAAGAATAGTCAACTCTGAACAGGTATGCTAATCAAGCATCCAATTTTAATATTTAAATGTTCCCCATCATTTCAAATTTTAAAGGTTCTCCAAATTCATCCAGTTATTGAGGAGAGCATGAAGTGACTTCCCAAAGAAAGGCCCAGCCAGAGCCAATCAGATCTGAAGACCGTGCTCACCTTTCCTTTCTTAAGAAGATAAATTCAACAGAAGGCCATTAAATGTTGATCTGGTTGTTACACTTTTAACTGGGCCTCGAGAAAAAAAACATAGACGACTAGCAGTCCAATTAAGCACATTAACATACTGCATACCCAACTACAGGCGAGATGTTGGAAAGACACACCGTGTTAGGCCAGAGTGAAGCTCTGCATTTCTTCAGGGAAGGATGCTTACTGCAGTGCGCTTCACATCGTAACAGTGACCTCTAGTGCTTCCTTTTCAGTTGTACTTCAGCAGTTGTAAAATGAATTACTTAGGCCTTTTGGACAAAACTTCATTTGTGTGTGGGTGTCTATGTTGCTGTTGTCATTTGTTTTGGTTGGCTGGTTGCTATGTTTGTCAGAGGCTACCACTGCAGGATTCCAAGATTTTGACTAGGAGAAGTCAGGCAGAGTTTATTGATTTATGGGGTTCCCATAGATCTGACTTAAACTTGAATCCGAAACGCAGGGCAGCACCTGGAATGAAGTTCCCTCTTTGCAAAATGACAGAAGCACCGTGTCACAAAAGCAGCTCCCACAAATGGAAACACAAAGTCACAGTGGCCACAAAGTATGAATGGACATTTGGCTTGAGACGTCCAGGAAGTTCATAAGGTTCTTCCCACAGTGTAGCCCCAGAGTGCTGACAAACGATGTGCCCCAGTAAATGTCTGCTCTCTGGTATTAGTGCCCCAAACCTACACTTGCGGAGAAAGCAGCAACATAAATTCCTGGACAGGCCTCACAGCCCTTTCTTGAAAATAAATGACCTTCTCCTTTAAAATCTGAGGCAGACATAAAAAGTTGTATTTGTCGACCTTATTTATCATTCACTGTACAGGGGGAAATTCTCCCGCTTACAGAATCTAACCCAAATTTAACTTGTAAAACTTTTTCTAGCCCTAACAGCAAGTGGATGAAGAGAGTCTGCCAAGTGATTTTTGGATGACATTCAAGTTAGAAATAAGGTTCTCACAAATCTTCCCTGAGTCAATTAACTCAGAATCAGCATATTCAATCACAAATTTATGAAGTGAGAAATTTAACCACTAACGATTACTATGTACTCCTGGGGGGGTGGGGACAAGCACCTGCACGCTTTTCCTTTAAGCCCAGTGTAGAAATTGGCCCCTCTTTGGGGAGTGCACCTAGACTCCTTCTCTAAGCAGAAGGACACAGCTCTCAATTCTGAGGTTTGCCACTAGCAGTTCTCCCTGCTCCTGAAGTCTGCAGTACGTTTCAGTTATTAGCCTGCATCATTTCAAAGATGCAGCCAGCTACTCATCTGCCAAATCGCAAACTTCAGAAATCTAAGCTAATGCAGCATTAATACAAAGCGTGCCGGTTGTTCTGCTGCTAGACACAATTCCAGCAAAATTCAGTAATCCCAAAGAAAGGGAGAAATGAAGACATTCACAGGCTATTCCCTGGTTAAGATGCTAATTTACTGTTTTACTAGAACTTCAGCCTTCTCAATGAATATTCAAAGACAAGAGAGTAAGATTCTGTTCACAGACAAAAAGAGAAAGATAACACTGTGCATATTTTGGTCAGAGGAAAAGGAAAGCCAAACGTAAACCCACTCGTATTTGCAGGATTTTTAAGTGATGCTTCATTTGTAGCAATATGCTTTGCCGCGATTCCCAGTTGCAAATAATAATCCTGAAAACAACAGGATCAAAGTTTTTGCAAGAAGCCCCTTCCCCTGCAAGTTTTAAATCATTTGCGGTATACTTACAGGAATTGCCAGCTTCCACTTTGCTCCAATTTTGAGTAGATAACAGAAGTAGCATGTTGAGGACAGCTCCGGTGATAGACCTCATGTTCAGGTTTATTGAGCTCCCCAAAAGATCTTGAGCAGCTCTGAACGCTGGAGTCCTGCTCTATCCCTCTCCCAGCTCTGACTGGGTGTTCAGTATCTCTAGGTCTCCCTTTCTCCCTGTATCTGATCTCACTCCTCCCTCCCTTCCTCCCTGCTTCTCTTCCCTCCCTCTTTACTACTCCTGTCTCTCTCTCTCTCTCTCTTTCTCTCTACCTCTCTCTCTCCTCCTCCTCCTCCTCTTCCTCCTCCTCCTCCTACCTCCTCTCCCTCCCTCTCACTCTCTGTCCTTCTCACACAGCCCTACTCCTCCCTGAAAAGCACCCAGCTTCTTTTCTAACAAGCATCCACACTGCCGAGGCCACGCCCACTCCTCGCAGCAGCGGTCCCAGAAATCGGTAGCAGCTCCAAACCAAAAGGTGCTCAGGGAGCTCAGCGCTCCGGAGCTGAGAGCTGCGGGTGATGAAAGCCTCGTGGGCCTCCTCCGGGCTCCCTCCCCTCTCCTCTATTCTCCAATAATCCTTAACCCTTTTTTCTCTGCCGGCGGTAGAGTTGGGGGCAGACGAAGGCGGTGGAGGTGGAGGTGGAGGCTTTTGATTTTCTGGAGGACTTGCGTTTGGCAGAGCCAGCCAGCACGCTGAGCTATTCCTGATTATCCGGGAGTGCGTCCAGGTAAAATTGCGTTATGTTTCAAAACAAAAGCATAAAATAAGACAGAAATAACAAAGCAGCACTGGTGAATTGTAGCTAAAACTGTCCTCCGGGAAAATACTTGCTGTTGTTTTTCTCTGTTTCTATAAAACTATCCTCTTTGGCTGCGGTGCCAGGATTTTATTATGGAAATTCCTCACATGGGAACACACATTCCTCCTTGGTAGATACATAGAAATCATCTGGTAATAGTCTGCAAGAAATTAACATTTCTTATTTTAGTTAGTGCTTCAGGAGTACGGATCCACAAATGAAATGCTTTGGGTAGATTTATTGTGATGAATGCATCACGCGGAGAATACACAGCAGTGTTCTACAATCATATTCTTTAATAGCAATTCCCAGAAGGCCCCAAAATGGAAAATGATGGAACACTGAAGAAAGGGAACACTCCCCGCACTCAAACACCGCACCAAACAACTCACACCAGCACCAAACAACAGAAAGAGGCAACTCCAGTGGTTCCAAGGAAAGAAAAGTTGAATGCAAGACCTCAATTGCTACAGAGAGATTACTCTCCTAATGGCTGACCCATGGAGGCTGGATCTGCAACAGAATATGAACATATTTAAATAATGAAGGTAAAATCCCACAATGACATGCATATCTCGTGGCGTCAGAGAAAATAAAAAAGTTCTTTAAAATAAATGCCAAGATGTTGTACTGCAAATATGCTAGATTTTACAAAGATGGGAATCGTGAAGTTCTTATTCACCTCTTCGTGATTAGGAATTAGAAAAGAGATAAACCTTTACAGCCAGCAACCTTGGTAGAGAATCTATAAAAGCTAAGCATATTTGTTTGACTCTTGCCTGCAAACAAAGCCGAATGTAATTTTTTTTTTCCTTTGGTTTTCCTATTTTACAGATGAGAGAATAAGAACAGGGAATTTAAATGATTTTGAAAAGGTTGTGGTGTTAGTAAGTAAAGAATTGGCAGCTGGACTTTGTTTTTCTGACCCCAGTTTTACTGATCTCACCCTTGGACTGTTGCCTTATGATCACCTTTCTGACTCCTATTTGTAAGCAAGGATAACCTAAAGCCCTGGAACAAACAGCAAGGGGGAAAGAAAAAAAAAAAAAAAAAAAAAACATTGCTTCAGTGTTTACTTTGTATTCTTAGACCTAAATTTCTAATTTTGTTTTTCAACTGTGATAGGTTAACCAAAAGCAGACCTAAACCAACAATTTATGTTACATAATTACTGAAGGGGATTACATTTTATTGAACCCATACTACATGCCACCTGCTATCTAATTAAATTAGTGTAGCAATCCTTCCAGGAAAATATCATTGTGCCTGCTGAACAAAGACTAGGCCTCGCTGACATTGAGCAGTGAGTCCAGAACGCTATTGTGGGGTGGAAGAGCAACCTGACCTTGGCATTCTGGTCTGAGCAGCTCTGAAAGTCTACCATGTGGGATCTCCACACAAAGCACAGGCTCCTGGGTTCTCCAGAAATGAAATGCTGTCTTCCTACTGCAAGTATATTAATTTTTCCCATGAAACAAATAAGGGAACATATTCTTCAAAGATCAGTACATGTGTTAAAAATGAAAAATAATTGAATATGTTATGACAATAAAAACTCAGGACAAAGTATAAAGGATCATAGCATCTATTAAGATGGGGTTTTCCGTACTGTCCATGGTAAGGGAATGGAGGCTGCCACTGGCTAAAAGGCTTGGGCATTTCAAGTCACCACAAAACCTTACCTTGCCTGATGGCCTCAGGGGCGGGAGGGTGGTTAAACTGACAGACAAGTGAAAAGGTGGGGAGAGGCCTAGATATGAATTCAGCTTCTACTGTGGCTTTAAGTAACTCAAAGCCTGGTCTTTGGTTTCCTTACTTTGAAAAATAACAGCATAAAACCCAAAGATTGCTGTGATACCTTGTGTTCTCATCTCCTAAAGGCCCAGCTCTTACCTGCCTTGGATCTCTGGCTTATAAGCACACATGGCAGTAGATTAGGCAGGCAGGACCAGCCTGGCAGCCCAGGGCCAGTGTTGGCCCCAGCTCCACTGCCTACCAGCTGCAAGCTCTTGGGGAAGCTGCCTGTCATCCCTGATCTCACTTTCCTCCCCAAGGATAAATATAGTGTCAACCTCATGAGCAAGACAATGGCTGTCAAAGGAATACCCCTGGGAGCCACCTGCCCACATTGCTGCTGTAATCTTTGCCATTCCCACAGCTCACTCTGCAGGGATGGGACCCTGATTAACAGAGGGAGTGTATGTGGCAACAGCATGGGACCCATCACAGCCTAGAACATTGGTCACTAAGACCCAGTGACTTGTGTTTCATTTCTCATCCCCACCAGGACAGTGTTAGTGTCAGTAAAAATAAACAGGAAACTCAGAGGAAAGGTAGAGACCTCCATGTGGGTAGTTTTGTATCTCGGATTCAGACTCCTGAATCACTTCTTTCTGAGTACATATTTGTGGTTATATTTTCTACCAGTGAAGAAAATAGCAACTCAGGATGCTTAAATTTGCATGTGCGTTTTATGGGATCAGACCTTGCCTGAGGAAGTATTGCAAATCAGATCAAGACTCTGGAATTTGTGAAAATGGAATTTCAACTTCTTCTTGGTACAATTTGTCAAAGAACTGTTATGGCACACCACAGTGGTATATGAAAGATTCTGTAGTCTAATCTGCAGTCCTTTATCTTCTAATGTAGAGGATTCTTCCTATGGTGAAATGGGAAAAAACTGCTCAAAATGAAAGGAACTGAATGGCGGAAAGGTGAAAAGGAGGAAGGGAAAAGGAAAAAATAAATAAATAAATATGTATAGAAGATAATTAAGACAGTTATACTACTAATTGCTATTAGTTCATTTAAAAGAAAGGTTTAGGCCTATATTATGTGATCAGTTTTTCATGCCTGTATCTTGGAATGTGAGCAAGTACTTTGAAGGTAACAATACACAATGTGCTAACCATTGTTACTCTCCTACAATCTTGTTTTGAAATTTTATACTATTATTTGTATTGTTTATATTTCCTTTGTTAAAATTTTAAAAAGATTCTTGACCTTTAATTTTCTAATCTAATCTATTAATCTAATATAGAAAGTTCTAGACTGTTAATCTTCTAATATAAAAGATTCTAGAGTGTTAATCTTCTATGACCACAAGGCCATAGTGGAACAACGTCACAGTAAAAGGCTAGAAAGATTAGCACACAAGTAATAAGCTACTCCGTTTAGATATTCATTGTATTTTTCGATCCACCTTTGTAGATCCTCAAAATGAAATTTGTGTGTTTTTTAGACATTTTGTTTTTACCCTTGTTTCTTTATACTGTGGTGCAAAACACATAACATTAAAGTTGCAATCTTAATCAATTGTGAAGTTCATAAATGTTAAATCTATTTACATTGCTGTGCAACATATCTGTAACATTTTTGATCTTACAAAACCGTGATGCTTAGCATCAGCCTAGGAATGGATAAAAAAGATGTGGTATTTTTATACAATGGAGTATTACTCAGCTATAAAAAAGATAAACTTGAGGCTTTTATAGGCAAATGGATGCAACTAGAGACCATACTCACAAGTGAAATATGTGTAAATATTCCAGAAGAATCACATGTGTAAATATCATATTGTCTTCCTAGTGTAAGAAACTGAAAGAGTAAATAAAATACAAAATCTACAATAAATATTGTGAAAGGGAAGGAAACTACTCAAAAAGAAAAAAAGTTGGAATAAGGTAAAGGAGAAAGGAAGGAAGGAAAAAAAATAAATATATATATCTCACAAGACAGTTAAGATAATTGTACTACTCATTTCTATTAGCTCATGAAAGGAGTAGTTAGTGCTTATAATGTTTGATAAATTTTACATGCCTTTATCTGGTCATCTGAGCAACTACTCTGAAGATAGCAATATCCAATATAATAACCACTGTCAATTTCCTATCATCTTGTTTTGAAATTCTGTATTGTTTTCATTGTTTTTTTATTCTCTTTAAAATAGAAAAACTGAGACTCTGTAGTCATTAAACACTACCCCATCCCACATACGTGCACGCGCGCGCACACACACACACACACACACACACACACATACAGCTCTTGCTAACACTTTTCTAACCTCTTGTTCCATTATTATGATTACTTTAGATATTTCATATGAGGGATATCATTCAGTATACATCCTTTTGTAACAGGATCGTTCCACTTAGCATAATGTCCTTAAATTTTATCCATGCTTCAGTATGTGATGGTGTATTCCATTATGTATGCATACCACACCTTTTTCATCCATGTACAAGTATAGAGTCCGGATACTTCCAACTTCTGGCTATACTAAATAGTGGTACAACAAACATGAGTGTGCAAATAACA